TTCTGCAATTTGTGTTGTTGTTGAATTATAACTTTAAATCATAGTGGTCTGATAAGATATATGGAGTTATTACAATTTTTTTGTATCTGTGGAGGTTTGCTATGTTTCCTATTATGTGGTTGATTTTAGAGAAGATTCCATGTGGCTCTGAGAAGAAGGTATATTCTTTTGTTTTTGGGTGGAATATTCTATAGATGCCTGTTAAAACTAATTAGGTCATAATTTCTCTTAGTTCTTTTGTTTCTTTGTTAAGTTTCTGTGTGAAGGTCCTGTCTAGTTTTGAGAGCAGAGTATTGAAGGCCCCCAATACTAGTGTGTGAGATTTTATGTGAGATTTGAGCTTTAGTAATATTTCTTTCAGGAATGTGGGTGCCTTTGTATTTGGGGCATAGATGTTCAGAATTGAGACTTCATCTTGACACACTTTTCCTGTGGTGAATATGAAATGTCCTTCATCTCTTTTGATTGCTTTTAATTTGAAGTCTAATTTATTAGATCCTTGGATTGCTATACCAGCTTGGTTTTTGGGTCAGTTTGTTTGGAAAATCTTTTTCCAACCCTTTACTCTGAGGTAATATCTGTCTTTCATGTTGAGATGGGTTTGTTGTATGCAACAGAAAGATGGATTCTGTCTTCGTATCCATCTTGTTAGTCTGTGTCTTTTTATAGGCAAGTTGAGACTGTTGGCATTGAGGGATATTAATGGCCATTGATTGTTGATTCTTGTTTGTTTTTGATTTATTGGTGGTGGTTTTAATATGTGTGGGTTTTTCTCCCTTTTTCTTTTGGTGTTTGGTAAAGAGGGATTATTTATTGCCTATGTCTTTGTGAGTGTCCTTAATCTTCATTGGGCTGAAGTTTTCCTTCTAGCACTTTCTGTAAGGCTGGATTAGTGGATATGTATTGTTTAAATCTGGCTTTGAAGGTAAGAATCTGATTGTTCAGAGAAGTGGTGGAGAAGCAACCTGTGATCTCCTATCTCTTTCATTCTGCCATCCAATAGGGACATGGTTCTCTCTAAGCCCTACCCTACTTCTTTCTGTGTCTATCGGTCCTCAGTCCTCCAAAAATTCTGTGTTTAATTTTGGCAAGGTAAGAGCTATCTCTGCCCTCTGAGTCAAAACAAACTTTATTATCAGTCTTCGGAGTTTCATGATGTACTCAAAATATCAACAACATGAAATAGCAGTAAAAGAGAGGTGGGCAGACAGGGCTATGGTCCTAAAAATAGGGCCTGAAAGGCAGAAACTGATAGGTGATAGCAGCTGAGCAATGGATAAATGTGTTATTCTCTCCTACCACTTGCTTGGCCTCTTTTCTGAGATGAACTAGACCACCACTTACTGCTTCCTGCTAACAGGCAGGAGCTGCCTCTGCACATAGGCTAGTAAAGGCTTTTAGGTAAATGGTAAATCTATCCCAAAACTTGTCTCATTTCTACTACAGCTCATTGCACATGGGACACACAAGCTCTAAAATGTACTTCAAAGTTGCCACTCAATGACCTTCTCAGACACTGGACGAAAGTAGATCCTCAGATATGCAGACAAAAGGTCCTGACCTTTTGCTGCCAGTGTGCATGGCTGAATTTTCCCCAGGGATGTTTCCCTTGCAGGAGGTGCTGGGAAAATTTGGACCCATCTATGTTCACAGAACCTTCTCGTTAGTTAATCCTAAGGAAAAGCAGAATGCTCAAGTAAAACAAAGACCAAATTTCTCAATCATTCTCAGCTGATGGCTATTTGTCAATGAGAAAGTGAACTTCCTATATTATCCTACTGTTTGTTCTTTTTGCAGGAGGGAAGGTACCAAGTTTTTCAGATAGTTGGCTTCCCCTTGCAGGTACACTCAAACTGATTATTGGTACAGGCTTTCAAACAGTTGGTCACCCTAAAACTAGTCAAGGAGGACCTCAAGTAGGAGGCTTATAAAGGCATATAGATACCAATGCAGATTGATTATAAATACAGACAGCCATACACCTATGACCTTATAAATTATAAAGCTATCGGAGGGTGATGTTTCAGAATCAAGTGTTCTGTCTTTTATAGTATTCTTTTTTTAACATTCCAATCACAGTTTCCCCTCTCTCCTCTCCTCCTCCTCATCCTCCCATGCCTCCCCATCTCCCATTTGCTCCTTGGAGAGGGTAAGGCTTCCTATAGGAAGTCTACTGTCTGTCCCATCATCTAATTGAGGCAGGACCAAGGCACTTCTCCACCCCCATACACCTGTGTCTAGATTGGGCAAGATATCTCTCCATATAAAATGGACTCCACTAAGTCAGTTTGTGCATTAGTGTTAGATCTTGGACCAACTGCCAGTGACCTCATGCATTTTCCCAGTCTGACCATTGTCACCTATATTAAGGGAGTCTAGTTTGGTCTTATGCAGGTTCCCCATTTGTCAAATCTGAGTCAGTGATCTCTCACTGGCTTGTTTCAGCTGATTCTGTGGGTTTCCCCACCATGGTCTTGAGCCCTTTGTTCCCCCCCTAACTTTGGTTGTACTCCAGGAGCTTGGCCCATTGGTTAGTTGTGGATTTCTGCATCTGCTTCCATCTGTTTCTGGACTTTTATAGTATTCTAACAGGGAAAAATGCTTCCTGTATCTGGTCAGTCTCTATTAGAGTCAGCAAATTCAACTCATCTGATGGCCAGGATCATCTTTCAGTCTGAGGAAGAGTAAGAGATAGTGATCAGGTGGTTTGCTTTACTGATCGTCAAGCTTGAAGCTTGAACCCCAATGTCAGTCTCTGGGTCTTTTGTTTGTTATGTTACAATATCCCTTGAAGATAGATTTGTGGATGGCTGTGACTACTGGATATGTCTTGGGGAAACCAAACTAGGATCCTTTGTGAGAACAACAATGACTTGTAACTGTTGAGCCATCTCTCCAGCCCCTTTTTCTTGTATTTTTTTAAAAAGGCACTCAAAGTTTGAAAATGTCCATAAGGACTAATTTAGTAATATCTTATAGATATTCATGTATTTTTATTTTCATTTGAGTTTTTATCTCCAATGTTTTTTTTTCTCTGTAGTTGAAATTTCAATTGTCCTGCTTTGGCTGTCCAAGTAGCTGGGATTGTAGGCCTTCTCCACCAAGTGTGGTGTTTACATTGGATTGTCTAACTTCCCTTATCCATTTCTTCTCTTACACATTGTTACACTAGTTAACTTCCACAGATTTATTTTCATGAATTTCCTTGTGATTGACTTCTAACTTCATGCCTTTGTGGGCATAGAACATACTAAATTCTATTCTTTCCTTTTTCTTCTTCCCAGTATATGATCAACCGAGAATGTTTTACATGAACTGGAGAAGAATGCCTATTCTGCTGCTCTTGGGTGAATTGTTGTGCACATGTGTTCCTAAGACTATTTGGTTCTTAGTGTTGTTCAAGTCTTTTATCAAATTGTTATCATCTCTCTAGTGCTCTAACAGTGAAATGTCCAATTAGTAGTTTTGAATGGTCTATTGTATTTCTGTGACTTTTTGCTTCATGTATTTTGTTTTCTGTTCTTAGATGATTACATGTTCGTGATTGTGATAGCTTCCAGATGTTTTAACCTCTTCATCATTAGAAAATATTCTTTATCATGTAAGTATTTGTTTTAAAGTATGTTTTGTCTGATATTTATATTGCCAATCTTCTTTCTTAGGGTTACAATTTATATCGTTTCCCATTTTTAAAAAAATTCAGTCTATCTGCATATTTTTAAGACACAGTTTAGTAGATTAATGTATCATTCTTATATTCTCAGGGAGAATGGAAATGAACTCATTACCACACTCAGAAGTGGCCCAATCCTAAAGGCAATGGACAAAGGCAGGTTGGAAAGAGACCTTTTAAGTTTTATTTATGTTACATGCATCCCCTTCCTCCTCTCCTCCTGTACTCTTCCCTAACTCCTTCAGAAAAGGTAAGGTCTCCCAAGAGGAGTTAACAAAGCCTGGCATATCAAGTTGAGGTAAGACCTATCTCCTCTCTCCTGCTTCAATGCTGAGCAATGCGTTCACCATAGGGAATTGGTTTCAAAAGGTTAGCTCATGCACCACGGACAGATCCTGGTCCCACTTCTAGGGGCCCCACAAACAGACCAAGTTATCGAACTGTCACCCGCACACAGAGGGCCTAGTTTGGTCCCATTTAGGCTTCTTAGCTGTCAGTCTAGATTTCATGAGCTGACAAGCTTGGGCCAGCAATCTCTGTGGGTTTCCCTGTCATGATCTTGAACCCCCTTGGTCATATGATCCCTTCTCCCTCTCTTCAACTGGACTCCAGGACCCACAAGAGCTGTGGATATTTGCATCCTCTTCGATCTGTCAATGGGTGAAGGCTCTGTGATAATAATTAGGGTAGTCATCCATCTGATTACAGGGGAAGTCCCGTTCAGGCACCATGTGAACTATTGCTTGGAGTCTCAGCTGTGTCATCCTTATGGATTCCTGGGAGTTTCCCTGGCACCAGGTTTCTCCCTAATCTTATAAAGATTCCTTTATAAAGATATCTCTTTCATTGCTTAGAGTTCCGTTCTTCCTCAGGGATGAGAGGCTAGAGATGATGCGCCTTTCTTTTTCTCCCTCTGGGCTGCAGAAACCTCAAGCCTAGAGCTCTCCATACCCATGCACTCAGGACTGAAGAATAGAAACCAAGTGATTGAGTCAGAGAAAGGGTCCCAGGAAGGAAGTTAAAGTAATCAAGAAAGACGAGCAAGGCATGCATGACTTTAATGCCAGCACTGGGTCGGCAAAATCTTGGGGATGGATTTCGGTGAGTTTGAATACAATCTGGTCTTTAAAAGAAAAAAAAAAGTAAAGAAAAGGAAGTCCTCTCCCCCTGCCCAAGCGCCATCACTATGATATCAGAGTGGTGGTCCAATTATTTGCCTATGGAACCTCGTAAAATTTACATAAGGCTGCCGATTGGTTGAAGCGCCTAAGCCCGCCCCCAAGATGACGTTTGTGTACAGATAGTTGCCAGAGAAACAAGACTTTGAGCTGGTGGTTGGACGTGTAGTACTTGAGCTCCTTACTGCTGAGCCTCTGCCATCCTTACAATGGGCTAAATTTGACGGACAACCAGGAGATTGGATCCTGGTTGTAGAACTAATTCAGACTGCAGACTTCTGGGCTGTGTGTCCAGTCCGTTTTTCCAGATAATCGCAAGAAACCTGGGAATTCATTTGTTCTTTCAAGATAAATCAGAAGATTACTCAAATGAGTGCTAGAAAGCAAGGGCCTCAGTTGCGTGGCCAGCATTTTGCTGAAGGTGATGACTTCATGAGTCTGACACCAAGCCGCAGGCGGGTCACAAAGGTGACAGATGGCTCCTCAGGAAAGAAGTCACCTGAGCCGAGAACTCTTCAGTCATCTCTTCCAAGAAGACCACAGGACCGTCCAGCCACAAAACGTGGCTTTGTGGAGAAAGGTCGCGCGGATGAGAAAACCTGCACAGCAGAGAACAAGCCGTCCACCGAGAAGCATCACATTGCAGAAAAAAGATGCACTGCTAGGATGAACTACGTTATGCAGGACACCAAATTGCCTGACATGCTTCTGATAGACGATGACTCTTGTGATGATGAAGAATGTCCTGCTACAGAGAAAGGACCCAGTGACAGAAAGCACCAGTTCAAGAAGCAACTCTCTGGGAGGAGGCACTGCTTTTTGGAGAAAAGTTGCTCATTCGAAAGGCATCTCTCGGCTGAGAAAGATCTCCCTACACAGAGAGGTTGCCTTAACAAAAAAGGATGTCTTACAGAAAAAGATCGTTCTACAGAGGAAGGTGGTTTGGGGGAGAGAGGTCCCTATGAAGAGAGAGGCCACCCTACTGAGGGAGGTCATCCTGCAAAGAAAGGTCTTTCTACTAAGAAGAGTCCATCATCTACGAAAGATTACTTGGATGAGAGAGGCCCCTCTATGGAAAACCACCACCCTGAAGAGAAAGACCCCTCAGCCAAGAAACTTAGCTCTACACAGAGAGATCTCCAGATAGATGGAGAGCATTCTGTAGGGAGAGGTCTGCCTGCCATCAAAAGTCAACCTGCAAAGAAGGGTTGGTCAGCAAACAAGAGTGGATCTGCAGGGAGAGGTCACCGCATCAAAAGCCACCCTGCAAAGGAGGGTCGCTCAGCCGAATGTGTTAACAAGGCACAGAGCAGACCCTTTGCAGGTGAAGATACACCTACATTGAGAGGTAGCCACATCCAAAGGTGTCCTGCAGAGCAGGGTCGCTCAGTGGAAAGAGCTACCACTGTGAAGAAAAGAACTTCCACAGCGAAAGCTCACCCCACAGGGAGAAGTCGACCTCAGAAGAAAAGCAGTCCTGCAGAGGAGGGTCAGTCAACAGACAGGGGTGCATTTGCAGGGGAAAATCTCCCCACAGGAAGAGGTAGGCTCTCAAAGAAAAGCCCCTGTGCAAAGAAAGATCTATCTACCGAGAGCAGTTGCCCTCCCAAAAAGAGCCATCCTGAAGAGAAAGACCTGTCTTCCAAAAGAATCTCCTCCACAGAGAAATTTCACTCTGAGGAGAGACGCCACCTTGTTAAGAAAACGAGACAGCTCTCTGCCAAGAAAGGGAGCATGGGAAAGAAATTTGGTTCTGGTGAAAGTGTTGATATTCAAGACAGCTATACTCGTGAGGAAAGTAGCACAGGAGAGAATGGGTGCTCTGTGGAGGAAGGTCATCCCTCCATGGAGAAAGGCTTTCCTGTAGAAACACCCTCTTCAGGATCTGTGCCTGCAGTGCCAGCGCCAAAGAGCACACAGGATGCTCCAGAAAGCAGCATTGGCAATGCTACCAGCCAAGTACCCCAGGTCACTCACCAGAATGTGGCTGGGGCTGTCACCACTGGTCAACCTATGCAGGCAGTGAATATGAGAATGGGAGTCAAATTGAAGTTGCCTGAAGAACTAAAAGAATGCCTTGTTGATGACTGGAACTTGATAAACACGTACAACCTGTTATTCCAACTCCCTGCTGACATTAATGTAGATTGTATTCTAGCAAACTATGTCGCCTTCGTGAAATCACAGGGAAAGTCTGATAGTAGAGACTATTATGTTGATGAACTTGTGTATGGAATAAGAGAGTATTTCAACATGATGCTGGGCAACCAGCTGCTCTACCATTTTGAAAAACCCCAGTATGTCTCAGTCCTAATGACTTTCCCAGATATTCCAATGTCTCAGGTTTATGGTGCTCCACACCTCCTCAGATTATTTGTGAAAATTGGGAGTGCATTGACCAATTTTTGCCTAAATAGGTGCAGTCTAATATTAGTGTCCGGATATATGCATGATTTCCTTAATTTCCTAGCAGATAATTCTACTTCTCTGTTTAGTGTCAACGATTACAACATGCCTTCTGCCTTATATTGTCTCAAAGACATTTGACTGCTCTTTTATGACCTAGACCAATAAACATTTCTATATTTGGTATTTTTAATGTGTATTCGATTTTCTTGAAAACTATCATGGTACAAAAGGGCTTAGTATTTCAGGTTTGGTATTGTGAACAGAAAGAAAAAATATTAAGTGCTTGTTTACTACAATTTCAACAACAAATATATGTTCACTAAGTAATTTGTGTTGCTTATTTCACAAGATTGCTTGAATGTTGGTGCTTCTATCCCCTCCATATCACCAGTGTCTACTAGCTGTTCATATACATGATATAATGCCCACATTCCTAGTGCATGATGGATATACTCCAAACACATGCGTGCACATAGTTAACAATATAAAATCTTTTTACATGTAAAAGTGATTGAAGATGATTGCTAAGGAGGCCTTGGTACACCCCTTAGTTTCAGCAGTGAAACGAGGAAGAAGAAGAAGAAGAGGCAATGACAAGAAGGAAAAGGAAGGAAGTGTGCAAAGAGAAAGGGAAGAGGGGGGCTAGAGAGGGAAGGAGAAGAGGGAGGAGGGAGAGTTAAAGAGGAGGAGGGGAGCGATATGTGGAGAAGAAGAGGGGAGGAAGAAAAGGAAAGGAGATGGAGGAGGGGAAGGAGAATGGGGAGGAGGAAGACAAGATAGGGCAGGAGAAGGAGCAGGAAAAGTAGAGGAGGGGGAGAAGAAAAGGAAGAAGAAAAGACAGAGGAGGGGAGAAGGAAGAGGAGGAGAATGAAGAGAAAGGAAGGGGAAGAGAAGAGAGGAGAAGAGGAGGGAGGGGCAGGATGAGATGGAGGGGAAGGAGAAAGGGGAGGAGGAGGAAAAGGAGAGAAGAGGTAGGAAGATAAGAAGAGGGGGAAGAGAGAAGGAAGAAATGGAGGAAATGCTGAAGGATAGGGAAAGGAGGGGTGGAGAAGGAAAGGGGAACAGGAGGAAAAGTAGGGAGAAGAGGGGAGAGGAAGAAGAAAAGGTGAATGACAAGAAGGAGGAAAGGAGAAGAGAGGGAGGAGAATGGGAGAGGCAGATGAGAAGGTGAGGGAGTTGAAGGAGGAAGGGAGGAGAAGGGGAGGAAGATAAGGGGAGGGAAGAGGAGGAGGAGAGGAGGGGAATGAGAAGAAAAGGAGGAGGAACAGAAGATGAAGTAGAGGAGAGAAGAAAGAGAAGGAGAGAAAAGAAAAGATGGAGAAATGGGTAGACGGGGAGGAAATTGGGGGAAAGGAGGAGGAAGAAAAGTGGGGGAAGAAGGATAATGGAGACTGAGGAGTGGTAGAAGAGGAAAAAGATAGAAGGTCGAAAATGAGAAGAGTTAGGAGGAGGAAAAGGAAAGGAGTAGTAGTAGAAAGATTGGAAGGAAGAAGGGGAGGAGAAGGTGGAGGAGCAGAGGGAGAAGAGGAAGATATGGGGAGAACAAGAAGGAAGTGAGGAGGATAGGAATAGGAAGAGGAGAGGAGAAGGAACAAAAGTAGGGGAAGGAGGAGGGAAAGAGGTGAATAGGGAAAGGAAGGGGGAGAAGGAAAGCGGAGAAGGGTAAAAGGAGAACAAGAAGTGGGGAGGAATGGGGGAGAGGGAGGAGAGGAAACACTAGGAGGAAGAGGATGAGGAGAAGGGGGCAGGGCAGAGCAAAGGGAGGCAGGGGAAGGAAGATACAGAAGAAGAAGAGGAGTAGAAGGGTTGGGAGAAGGAGTGGGAGAAGAAGGAGGGGAGAGAGGGAGGAGAGCAGAGAGGAAGAGAAGGACAGGGAGGAGGGAGAGTGCTGGGTTCCAACCCTGGCTTTGTCCAGGCATGGTTAGGAGGGAAATAGACTGAGCATGTGCAGGGCAAAAGGTGTGTTCTGAGTGGACATGAATACAACAGGGAAAAGGACACCCTGGAGGCTGCATCAGTGGACACCTCATTTATTAGGAGTGGCGAAGGGACATTTCTACCCCAGGAAGAACGACCTGTTGGGTCCATGTGGTGGTATGCTGTTGGTTGGGGTAAGAACATAAAGGGACTTCACTTGTACACTCAGAGACAACAGGGGCCAGAGGAAAATAACTTATAGTCATAGTAAGTCCAGCTCGGGCTGCTTCAGAGTTCAGATAAGCAGCAACCAGTCCCTGTGACCTTGGAGACCATGAGCTTATCAGCTGCATTGGGGCACATCACAGGAAGCCTAACTGTTTGGAGTCTGCTGGCATCTGGACAAGGAGGTGGAGCAAACAAACTCCTGCTGCTCTAAGGATAAGAAAATCCAGGGTTTGACGCATTCTTCGACCTCTTAGTTTCAGGCTAGCTTGATGGAGAGGATGGGAAAACAAGGGGAAGAAGAAGGAAGGCAATAAGGAGGGAGGGTGAGGAAGAAGAAAGGACAAGAAGGCAAGAGAGAAGGAAAGAGAAGAGAAGGGAAAGGAGGGGAGGAGGAAAATGGAATGAAGGAGAAAGAAGGAAATGATCAGGGAGAGGAGGAAGACAGGAGAGGAGTGGGAGGAAGGAAGAGGAAGAGGAGGGAAAGAAGGAGGATGGGGAAGAGAAGACAAAGAGGGGAAGGAGAAGGAGGTGGAAGAACAGAGGAGGTGAAGGAGGAGAGGGGAGGGGAAGAAAGTAGAGAGAGAGGAAGAGGGTAAGGGAAGGAATGGGGGAGGAGGAGGAGATGGAAAAGGGGAATGATGGGGAGGGGAAGAGAAATGGTGTGTGTGTGTGTGTGTCTGTGTCTGTGTTTGTGTGTGTGTGAGAGAGAGACAGAGACAGAGACAGAGAGAAAAGGAGAGAGAACCATAGGTGAATTCTGTAATCCTGCAATATCTGATCCATATTTAAACATGTTTCTGTCTTTCTACACTGTCAGAATTTATTGAATGAGATGAAAATCACTAAGGTTACCTTTCAATGAAAACAATTTGTCACATAATCCACCTACCCTGGTAGCTATGCCAAGGCTAATGCAGGCAGGTTCATTATTCCAGTCTTAATCACCAATATTAACACATTGCACAGCACTATATGTATTTACATGCATAAAAGTACAGAAGATATGAGTTATTGAGGCAAAGCAAAGCTCAAGAGGTTTCAATGTAGGCCAAGAAGGAGTCTGTAAAGACAATGGACCAGATCACTATCTGGAGGGAGCTGCTGTTGGGGCTGCTGGAGTCAGGGTTTGAAAGAAAATCTGTTCCATCTGTGAGGTTGGAGGCCCAGACCTTCACCCAGGCCCCTGCTTTGGCAGCCATGACAGGCTGCAGGAAAGACCCAGTAAGATGTAAGGCCCTGACTCAGCAACATTTGATGAGCCCCTGATGTTGACCTAATCACTAGGTTCAACCTCCAGACACCATCCATATAGAAAGGAACCGACCACAAGTTAGCTGGTGGGCTCTGGATTTGCTTTACTGATAATAGTGGAATGCAGGGCAGAGAAAAGCTTCCCTGGGAAGACCTCTAGGGGCAACAACCTTTCTGCAGCTGTAGATGACCAATCAACTCAGGACAGATGGCCCCAGACTGGAGGTACAAAAATTCTGAGACTATTGATATGCAACTAGCAGATCCCCAGACATTCTCCCCTTGCTCTATCCCAATATATGCCCTGCTCCATTGCTGCTCGGGGTCCTTCCTGCTCCATGTGCTCTGTTGGATGGACAGAAGACCCGAGTTAACCCATAATTTAGAAACACTCTTTGCTTTTGCATCGGATCTGGGGGTTCTGAATATGGGCACAACAAGGTTAAAGGCTGAGTTGAAGTCTGAGAGCAAGAAACAGTGGATTGAGGTCCAGGTCCAGACATGAGAGTAGGTAGCTGAGAAGGCCATCCAGGAATTCATTAATCCTTAATGCTTATGATAGGTATCAAATGACAGTTTGGTGTGGGAGCCATGCCAACACTGTGTTGGGTGTCCATTACTTTATGGGAGCCTTGTAATGAAGTTCCACCATTCTTTTGGCTTGTTGTATTGGTAAGTTCTTGGACCTCATTTCCCTTATAAGACATTAATATGCCCATGTTCTGCACAATTACAGTTTATCCAATAAATGGAGTGGTTCATCTTCTTTTCCCAGGAATAAGTCATTTATCAGTCTATGCTAGATGGGTGGTACCTTGATAGATGGTGCAGCTTCTGCATCTACCCAGGGACTTCTTGTCCTTCTCCCTCAAAATGAGTCAGGTTCTTCTAAAATGGAACCTCCTAGGGCCCAGTCTGAAAAAATAATCTGTTTCATACAACATAGAGAAGAGTGAGTGGGGCATAGCCTGATCTCAACAGTATGGACTAAATGAAAATCAAGGGCAATACACCAGTTTGAAATTCTGTGGGGGGCACCACAATTTGCCCCAAATATGAATTCCCCTGGATAAAACACTTGAAATTTCTTGAGTATCACAGGAGACATTACTTGTCATAGCTAGGTCTGTAGTGGGAGCATTGAAGACTAAGCTGTGGAAGACTAAGCGTGGCCTCTCTAGCTGGTTTTTGGCTTGACCAAGGGTCCTTTCTTCCTTGTCCTCCTCCTCTTCATCCTCCTAATTTTCTATGCCCTCTGCTTCTTTTCATCCTGATCTTGTCTGTAGCCATTGAGATGTCCTGAGTCTTGTTATCAAACTCTTTTATAAACTTTGGTGACAAAGCTGTCAGAGATGGTACCATACCCTACTTCTAGATATTGCCATTGAGGCAGTATTTGGACTGTACATTTCTAGGTATATCAAACAAGTCCTTGTAATCAGAGTTGTTCATCTGTTGTAGCTTCCAATTGCTCTTATACTCAGAGTTATGAATCACAGAAGATTCCCTCATAGGGGATATCAAGAGTCTTTCATTTCGCTCAGGACAGGGTCCAGGCGCTCCCCTAGTAGTCCAGTCTGAGAGAGCACCCCTCTTTGTGTTATGGACACACAAAGTCCGTTTGTATGCCAGGGTTAAATACCGATCTACTGCCCAGGGCCCCATAGGTTGCCCAGGCCTCTTCTTTGACTATCACACTCAGGAGGTTTGGATCAGTCCCACGCTGGCCTGCCAGCTGTCATTCTGGGGTCCAAGAGCTCCCCCT